TTAAACTCATTACTGTCATGTCAGGGGAAAAACAAACAAACAAACAAAAAAAAAACAATGCCCACCTAAAGCAAGTTCTAGATTATTTTCTAGTCTATTTAACAATTAAATCAAGACTTAGACTCTAATTTTGCAATGCCATCAGTACTTTAGGCACCTTACATTTTCTGATCACTCTTTGATGATGTGTAAAATTCAGTTGTTTAGGTTGCCTAGGCTTAAGGAGAATTATTATAATGAGAATCCAAGTGACAGAATTTCTCAAGAAAATTATCACTGTTAATCAAAAAAAAAAAAAAAAAAAAAAAGTTACATAGTTACATTCACTGACCATCTCCAGGCAAGGCCTTGTTGGAAAAAGGTTAATATCCATGTTTCAAACCAGGAAAGCAGAATTATGGGAAGGGTGTGGGGGGAGTCTTTATCTGTCCTGTCAGACAGCTCCCAACTCATGCCATGGAGATGTATTATAATTATGAAAGCTTGGCTGATCGCTTAGGCTTGATTCTAACTAGCTCTTACAACTTAAATGAATCCATTTCTATTAATATGCATGCTGCCATGTAGCTCATGTTACCTCATCTCCTACATGTCATGCTTCCTCCGTGTCTCCCTTTGACTCTACCTTCTTTCCAGCTTTTTCCCTGCCCTGAAAATCCTGCCTAGCTATTGGCCATCCAGCTTTTTATTAAACCAATCCAAGTGACACATCTTCAGAACGTACAAAAAGATTATTCCATAACAAAGGGAAGCTTTAATGACTACAGAACTTTAAAAAGGTACTTATGGTAATATGATCAAATGGTCAGCTCTGAAAAAAATGTATACAGTTAACACTGTACAGACTAGGCAAGTTATATGAGGGAATATATATATGTGTGTATATATATATATACATATATATATATGCATGTAACAACAATTAATGAAAATAGACGCCAATAATTTGAAAGGTAACAAGGAAGAATATGAGGGTTTGGAGGAAGGAAAGAGAAGCGGAGAGGAAAGAAGGGAAATGAGAAGAGAAGAGAAAGACATAATCAATACATTAAAGCAGAAATAAATAAATTGGGGATAGCTTTTCAAAATGGGCCAGGGGTGTAGCTCAGTAGTAGCACTTTTTGCTAGAAGGTGCAAGGCCATGGATCCCATTCCTAGCACTGCAAAAACAAGTAAACCAACAAATAAACAAAAACAAATCCTACTATATCCAACATCAGATCAACTTAAAAAACAAAACAAACCAATAATTTTAGCTCTATTATTATTGTTATTTCATTTAAAAAGGGATATGTCCAGGTATATTGCCTAGGCCGGCCTTATATCCCTAGTCTCAAGCCATCCTCCTAACACAGCTTCCTGAGTAGCTGGGGCTATGAGTCAGTGCCACAGTAAAGAGACTTGCTTTGAGGTCAGTGCTGGACCCCCTGGCCTGGGACATTATGGTTGGGAATGAGAGTCAGACTGCAATGAGTTACTGCTATGTAAGCATCTCTTTAGTCTTTGATAAGATGACTTTTATAAAGAGATGGGGAGATGTGGTTTATAGCTCTTGTCCATGTCTTCTTAACAACTAAATCTAGTGTGTGAGTGGATATGTGTGAATGCAAACATGCTCACATCCATAGGTTAAAAAAAAGACAATCAATCCTCCAATGTAGCCCAAGTGCGTTTAAGTGCCCGGGTACCTCACAAAGATTTCACCACTGCTGTGGTCCTGTGCAGACCTGGCCTATTCTCTTGATAGCATTCACTCTGCTGCTGTTCAAATCCTCGAGAAGATACCAGTAATCTCTATTTTATGTCCTAATTACACAACCACTTATCCGGTTGGCAACTTGAAGAAAACAAAAGGTTATAGTAATATTTAACCACAGTGTACCTTAGAACAAAATCCAAAGCAGAAAAAAAAAAAAAACAAAAATCTCAGGCAGTCTTGCAAATAAAACAGAAAACAGCCGTAAGTCAGCAGCCTGCCTGCCTGCCTCTCTTTTTCCCTCCCTCCCTCCCTCCCTCCCTCCCTCCCTCCCTCCCTCCCTCCCTCCCTCCCTCCCTCCCTCCCTCCCTCCCTTCCTCTGTCCCTTCCTTCCTTTTTCTTTTCTTTTCTTTTCCTTTCTTTTCTTTTCTTTTTCTAGACAGGGTTTCTCTGGGTAGTCTTGGCTGTCCTGGAACTCACTCTGTAGATCAGACTGGCCTCACACTCAGAGATTCACCTTCCTCTGCCTAGGATTAAAGGGTGTACCCACTGGCAGCATTTCTGGAATAAATAGCCAATACTCATGGCAAACTACACAAGAAATCAAAATGGAAAAATCAAAATGGCAAACTACACAAGAAATCAAAATGGAAAAATCATTGCTTTGCTCGTTCCATTGCCAAACACCTGTAACATTAAAACAGAATAAAGCCTAGGTCTGTTTTGACCAATAGCAGGCCTTCCCAACAGAGGCTTATAAAGAATATAAAAAGCTTCTAGATGGAGGAAGAGAAAATTTGGGGACCATTAAAAATTTCACTTGCAAATAATTAATGTCCAGAAGTTTTACTTGTCTTTGGAGCTAAGAACTTCTTTACCCCAATTTATCAGTAACTCCTCTAAGCTAAAGTTACAGGTTTTACTTATGGGCACATGTTTCTTGTGTAAAAAAAAAAAAAAAAAAAAAAAAAAAAAAGCTAGCAAACTAGGTAATTGGAAATTTATAGCTCCCTGCCCTGTTGACTGAGAGCATCTCTTTATGGCTTGTCATCAGCTCAAGACGGCCCAGAGATCTGGAGAGCTGGGCCACCCCAGCCCAGCTAACCATGTCCATCCCAACTTCATCTGTCAACTATGACTTTGGTTTCTTTTTTTAAATTATCCATTGTCAGAGGTGGCTTGTCTATTGTCTCTTAATAAATTCCTGCTCATTTTCATGTTTAAATGGGTGCTCAAGCCATTGTTCATATCCTTTTGCTTCCTGTTAGTTGTGCTATCTGAAATAATCTATTAGTTCATACAGGAGGCCACTGTGTAAGACCTGGACATTTTCACTGAAATGGCACGTGTCATGCACGCATGATGACTGGGTGTTATTCTCAACTTTAAAAATACATGATTCATTAAAAAAATTGATTTAATTGTGTGGTGTGTGTGTGTGTGTGTGTGTGTGTGTGTGTGTGTGTGACACTCGAAGGTAACTGTGGAGACTAGAAGAGGGTGTTAGATTCCCTAACTGCAGGTGGCACATAAGTGCTGGAAACTAAACTCCAGTCTTCCAAAGAGCAGTAAGCACTATTAACCGCTGAGCCCTGAACACAATCATGTTTAATAGCTTATTCCATTTCAGAAAAGAAATTGGCAGGCTGCTTATACGATAAGATAAATACTGAAGACAGAAGATTGCACAAAGGAGAAAGTAAACTAGGGACATTGAAATGAAACTAAGAGACAGGACAGCATTTAAAGCTTGTGTTGTCAGTCCAACACAGGCCTTAGAAGATTCTGAACTACTGGGCTAATGTGGTCTGCTGCAGTGAATAAAGTTGTACAGTAACACAGCTACAGCTATTCATTTACATATCATGTATATGCATGCATACTTTCATGTTACAGTGGCAGAGCTAAGTAGCTGCAGCAGAGACCATATGGCCCACAATACCTAAAATTTTTACTGTCTGGCTCTTTTCAGAACAAGGTGCAATAGCCAGGATATTTGATTCTCTACTTAGGAGACAGAAGCAAACCCACTTCCTAGACTATATATGGTCTTTGTATAGCAAGTGTTATTTCCCTAGCTCCCAAATTCTTTTCAAGATTAATAAAATGATTTTCCAGAAGCCTGTTGTGAACTATATAATTCAACACAGTGTTAGAAGGGAATAAAAGATATCCTGTGGCCTTTCCCATCCCTACTCCTTTCTTATGGGTGAAATATTATGCTATGAATTGATTGTGTTTCTAGTGGGACAGAGATTTAGGTTATCTAAAGAAGTCTTTAATATGCCAATTGAGATGGGGGTGGTGGTGGTGATGGCTGATTTAAGCCTTTAATCCCAGCACTCCCTGCAGACAGAGGAAGGCTTTCTATAAGTTCAAGGCCAACTTGGTCTACACAGTTAGTTTCAGGACAGCCAAGGCAACACAAAGAAACCTTGTTCCCCCCCTCAACCCCCCCACCCCCGCCCAAAAAAAAAAAAAAAAAAAAGAAGCAAATCGAAGAGAATTACAACAACTATTTGCATTTATTACTCTAGAAATCACTGTCTAATCAAGATCTGACTCCTGTTATCAATATCAGGAAAGCCAGAACCTTATCTGTCCAGTGACCCAACAGGTCTTTCCACAGGTGACCAGGGCACAAAACTAACAAGTAAAATGTCTACAGATTCTGCTTCTCTTGTGGTGCGTGGTTGTCTTCCAGAGAACCAAACAGAGAAGTAAAACTCACCCATATGTGATGGCAGAGATCATATGGGAAACACATATGGCAGAGCCCCTGGATGCTTTCTCCATCCTACTTCAAAAGGGGGAACTGCCAAGTCTTGACACCCAGTGCTCTAGTACAAAAGCTGACAATTCAAATCCAGAGTACTTATATCACATCCAAAAGAATGTTGAAAATTTGGCCTCACCGCAGAAGATAAGAAGAAAAGACCTCAAGGGGTCCAGGCTAGCCAAGTGCAGTCCACATGGAATAATTCTTCATTATGTTCTGCTAGAACCAGGACTGGGGTACCCAATGGTGCATTTTGAAGAACACAGAATGCCAATACAGCAACTTCCAGAGAAACCAGCAGCCCCTATGTCAGCTTGAGCTGATTCCCACATCTCCAGACCTTTACACAGACTTCCATTTTCCTTGATGCAGGCACTGACCCCAGCTGAAAGTTTTTTGTAACCACAAAGGCTTCCTAGTGTGTGTTTCCCAAGTGCCACCACCCCAACAACTAAGCCAGAACCTCTCAGGCAGCAACAATTGGGCTGAATTTCCTAGGGACTAATCATGATGGTTCCTACTTACGTAATGCATACAAGGTGAGGATGACTCCGGCCAGGCAAAATCCTTCAAAGAACCTGAGTGTGCTGAACATTGTCACATTCACTGACAGTGCCACCGTCAGTCCAAAGATCAGAATGAAGATGATGGAAAACAGCAGCACAGGCCGCCGACCAACCCTGCATGTGAAGAGGGGAGAAGTCAGACATTCATGTTAAACATGAGGGCAGTGCTAAGTACTGAAACCCGGCATCCAGTGAGTATTCAATATATATTGAAGGAGTAGGAGCTAAGTGTCTTCATACTACCTATACCCATTTCACTAGATCATGGCTTACTCCCTGGGGCTAGAGGCCCCTTGTGGGACATTAAGTCCATCCTCTTCTGGAACTGAGAGAGCATTGCTCAAACAGCTACTGGGACAGAGAATTATGATGTGGCCCTGATTACCGATGCTGAGTCTATCTCTGTTTATAAACAGGGATAGTTCAAAGCAAGAGAACAAAATCAATAATAACTCCCCAAACACAAACCTTGACACACCCAGCATAAAATGCCTTGAGAAACTGCTGACCTTTGGAACTGGCCCAGAAGTCAACATGCACATGGAGGGAAGGCTTCATTTCTATTCTTCAGTTGTTACCTTGGGGAAGTTATCTTGTTTCACAGGCAGCCTACAGGTCCAGGCCTATGGGCCTATGGGCCAGCTATAATTTGCTTTAGCTACATGACAACATGTAATTCCAAAGGGACCACAGGGATCACACACTAAGCCTGGACACTTTGGACTGTAAATAAATGATCTGGTGTCTTACAGTAGACCCTACAGGAAAGGGCAGTGGCATACTTAGTTCACAAACCACACCCAGAGCTAATCAGTACATGATCAGTGACCACTACTGGACAATGTACTTGGGGGCAATCAGAGGGCGGATGGCGTAGTCCATGGAAATTGAAAAACCAGGAGTTCCCTTGTCCCCACACTAACCATTCACCTTTCCTAACTTGTTATAAGTAAAACCATGGCAACAGAGCTGCAGCAAACAAATTAATATTTAACACCACTGGTTTGAACTAAAAGGATAGCTCACAGAGAAGGCGGGGTAAGAGGGGAGGGAGGAAATGCAGGCCTGGTGCCCTCCACACACATTTATGACAAGGCATTGGCATACAAGTAAAAAGGCGGGGGGAGGGGGCAGCTAAAGGACAGACAGTAAAAAGGTGGCAGCTCGGGGCTGGGTGAGAATAGAGAATGTTTATGAGCACATTTTACAGTCTCTGCAAGGACAATGGAGGTGACTTAAATTCAAAGGACCTAACTCTGTAAACACATTCAAAATTATTGAATTGTTCCCATTAAAGGGCAGGTCTTATATATATGAAAATGCTTTTCCACTCAAGGCTCATTTTAAAGATAAAGTACTGCAAGGCCTTACCTGTCTCTTATAATTTTAATTTATATAACGTATACTATGAAATATAAATAATATTAAAAATATTAAAATCTATAGCAGTAATATGATATTTTAAATATAAAATGTAAATATATAAAATACAACATTTATACTATAATATAATTATGAACTACTCTCTAAAGGTCCACCCACTTCTATTACACAGCTTTGGGGCTGTGTGGCCAAGGCTATGAGTTTATAGCAATGAGAAGCCTTTGTGTTTGTACTGGGGTCATAAAGCCCTTACCAGGAAAGCTCTTACCCGGTGCCTTTGTCTGTACCCAGCTCACTTGCAGAAGTACATTTAACGCATGGCCTACTTGTCGTCGTAAAAGGAAGGAGAGTATACAAATATCTAACCTCTATGTTTAATTCCTGTACCTGCCTCACCTGTGAATGAGGCGATGGGATCTGCTTCACTTCAGAGAGGCGCATGATGGGTCTGGCCTGAATCCCCAAGCTAAATGTTTCAACATCTAGCTCTAGCCTTTCTGCACTTCTTCCTGTTGATACTGTCTTCCGATGTGCACAGTCAGGCTAACCTAGAATTCTCTGTACAGCCCAGGTTCGCCTCAACCTGGCAATCCTCTCCCCTCCCAACTCCCCAAGCCCTCCGATCTCAGGTGTATGCTACCATGTCCACTTCTTCCTGATGCTCAACCTTGTTTTCTCCTGTCTTGATTCTGTCTTAGAAAAGATGCTTGATTTTTTTTATTTTAAATCTTGTAAAACACATTCTACATACCTCCCTCCCAAACGGTTACCTAAATCAGTAAATCACATCTATCAGTCGGTGGGGGCTGTTCGGGCACGAGAGAGAGGGACTCTGAAAATGGGATTACAGCTAAGGACCTCAAATAAGGTGATTTTCCAAGGAGGGTAGCATGAAAGAACTTGACTCCAATTACTGGTTCTGAAGACGGAGGAAGGGGTCATGAATCCTGAACACAGGTGGCTACTAGGGGCTAGAAAAGACAAGGAAATGACTGTTCCCTGAGCTTCCAGGAAGGATCTCTGCCCTGGTAGTGTCCTAGTTTTATCCCGGTGACACCTGTGTGTGGCTTATGAACTGTATAAGATGATTTATTTGTGTTGAAGCCACCGAGCACGTAATAGTGACAGTAGTCATGGGGAACTGATATCCAGTCTCCAAAGAGACATCCCACTCCACTGAAGTGACTGGAGGAGACTGTGATTCAGGGATCCTTTATAAAAGATGGGGCAACAGGTGGAGAGCCTGTAGGACAATATCCACTTCGAAGTTTCCATCAGAGGGAAGGAGGGGTTGGGGCCAGATAGTCATGCAGGTGCGAGAGAGGCAGTGTGTAGAGGGTACCCGGTTGGTGCCCCTTGCAGTTTTGCAGAGATCAATGCCTGAGCTATCCCCCTCTTTCCTGTGACTCTTCAGCTTGTATCTCCCCAACTATTCTTTCATTCCACCTATTACTGCTGTTCTAAACACAGGCCATCCTTCAAGAGAGCCCCGTTCCACACATAGCTCAACCAACATGTTCTCCAAACATAAATTTGGGTTGAAAATGAAGCTAGCTTTTTCTTTTAAAAATATTTTAGTATTTTCAATACTGCATGTGTGTTTGTACTGTGAGAGTGCGTGTGTGGTATAGATGTGTGTGGTGTGTGTAATTTGTTGGGATTGGAGGAGGATGTCTGCTGTTCGACTCTATCATTCCCTACCATCTTCCCTTGTAACAGGGTCCTTCGCTGTCTTGGGGTTTCTATAACTGTGATGAAACATCATGACCAAAGAAACTTGGGGAGGAAAGGGTTTATTCGGTTTATGCTTCCCCATCACTGTTCATCACAGAAGGGAGTCAGGGCAGGAACACAAGCAGAGCAGGATCCTGGAGGCAGGAGCTGATACAGAAATCTTGGAAGAGTGCTGCTCACTGGTTTGCTCCTTGTGGCTTGCTCAGCCTGCTTTTTTATAGAACCCAGGAGCACCAGTCCAAGGTTGGTACTACCCACAATGGTAAGGACCCTCCAACAGCAATCACTAATTTAAAAAAATGTCCTACAGGCTTGTCTGATCTTATAGAAGGATTTTCTCAATTGAGGCTACATCCTTTCTGATGACTTTATCTTATGTCAATTTGACATAAATTTAGCCAGTATACTTCCTTATCTTGGGAATAGGCCAGTAGCCAGCAAGCCCCCAAATCCTCCTGTTTCTGTCTCAATAGCTCTGGAATTAGGTACATGTGTCCATGTCCAATTTTTTACATGGTTAGTGGGGATCAAACTGAGGACCTCATGCTTACATAGCAAGTGCTTTTATAGACTGAGACATCTCTGCAGCTCCAAAACTCTTTAAGGAAAGCAGTCTAACACTTAAACATCTGTATATGCTGACCGGAATTTTAGAAAGCTTACCCTATAACTTGATCAACCTCCTCATGCAGCCCTGAAACTGACCCTGCTGTGAATTATGGAGTTCTCTCAAATGGGGTGATTTCTTGTAAGACCAGGCTTAAACAGAGAGTAAAATGCACCCCCTAAAAGACAGGAGAGATGCGAAGAACAAAACTTAACTGAAATGGAAGTCCAGTCAGATTCTCCCAAAGGTACTGCTCAAACATGTGTAAAGATTCCCTAGGACATCCCTGTTTGTTTGTTCAACCTAGTCCCCCCAGGAAAGCCATTGCCAAGAACTGGGTTTCTGCTATCAGACTCAAGGCACTGTGAGCAAGACCCAAACTCTTAAGTCTTTTGTCCAGGCCAAGTCCTGGAGAGTGATCAAGGAGGCCACTGGGTACGCATGTGCAGGAAAAAAGCCTGGTGCAACATACACTTCCACAGACAGATCCTTTAATGAAGCCCTGTATTTCTATTATAGAAGTTACGTGTGGAATCAGGACACTACAAGTGCTATCAAGTCTGCATTTCTCAGGAAGGAGATCATATTGGTATACACTTCTAATTTCTGTCAGTAAAGTTCCCTGGGAAGCAGTGTCTGCAAGATCAGTACAGCTAGCGTATGCTGAAGAGCTAGCAAGCCAAGCATCTGGTTAAACAAAATCTTACTTTCCATCCTCAGAAGCTAGACTACTCCTAGCACAGGCCTGCAGAGGTCACTGACGGTTTCATTGATGAACACAGGAAATGTGTCCATATAAATTCAGCCCTAGAAATGGTGACTTGGCAGATTCTGGGCTCACAGGAAATTACATTGTATGTTCACACAAATAGACACTAGTTTGAGGAAGGAGATTTCCACCACTTAAAGTGGCCGGAGAACTCTCTGTAGCCATTCCCACTGCCCTAGCTAGCTTTCTCAGAGGGCACCAGGAAAAAACACACACACACACACACTCACACACACACACTCACACACACACACACACACTCTCTCTCTCTCTCTCTCTCTCTCTCTCTCTCTCTCTCTCTCTCTCTCTCTGTCTGTCCCTTAGCATTCCTGACATTCCTATGTCAACAGGCCGGAGACAGGCCGATTCACACACAAAAAAGATTATTGTAAAAAGAGTGGCATAGGAAACAGCCACCCCACATCTTTGTCCTTGGGCAGTCCCTGACATCATGCAATTGTTTTCCCTCTTAGACACAGCACCACAGTGCTCTTATGACCAGAGAGTGCCTTAAACAAAAGCGTTGTGCCTTGTCAGTAAAGCAGTTCCGGACCCTATGGTATGGTTGCCAAGTCCTGATTGCAGCTTATAGCTGAGAGAACTTGGAGGTGACTTGAACTTCTGGGCTCTAGTTTTCAGCAACAAACAAGGCATAGGAATATCTGACACTTGCCTAGTACACTGTGATCAGTAAGCAATGGGTTCCTTTTTTTTTTTTTTTTTTAAAGATAAATAATTATTTTGATGTGTATAGGTGTTTTGCCTGTATGCATGCCTATCTCTGATGCCCTCTGATTTGAGAAGAGGCTCACCATGTGGGTGCTAGGAATTGAACCTGGGTCCTCTGAGAGGGCAGCAAGTGCTCTTTACCACTGAGTTCTAATGCTGTTACCATTATTATCACTCACTCAGCTTCTCCCTTCTCCTGGTCTTCATCATTTATTTCCTCCTGAATCACACACTTTGATCTGAAAATCCATCTCTCCTTACCCACCTAAAACACATTCCATCTCATTTCTGATTGCTACCTTTCCCTTGTCCAGAGTACCTATCCCATTACCCAAATGCCCTTATGTTCTACTGTCCTCCTCACCATTGGCACTACAGAGGCAGCTCCTGGCTAAGCCAACGACTTGTTCTAAAATGTGAATGGTACGTTAAGGTGTTAATCCAGACTGACATCTATCTCCATTGGGAAGGTGATGGGTCTCCAACTTCTTCACCACTTTAGTCTTTGGAAGAGGGAGTTTCATTATGTTGCTCAGGCTGGCAGGCTGGCCTCACTGTGTTCAAGCAACCCTCGGCCTCTGTCCCCAGTAACACAGACTATAGGTATATGCCACTTCACCCAGCTTTCCATTTTTTTTTTTAATGTATTTTGTGCACCCAGCCATTTGGCATCCAGTTGTGCATCTCCACATTCCTTCCGACTAAGCATAAGTTGTCAGAATTAAATGGGGCTGCAGGCTGGTCTTGAATTAATTTAGATTCCCCCTTTCCCCTCATCTGTCATGTGTAGTGGTCAATTTGTTTTTGCCTCTGCATTCTCCAAGTGGTATCACCGGCAAAGAGAGCAAAGGCACAGTGGCCCTGTGTTACTGATCACTCCTCCATAGCTAGCAAAGGTGTGCTGTGCCTTCCAAAGGTCTGTGTGTCAGGTGTGTTGGTACTCACCAGTCAGCTATGCATCCAGTTATTAGGTAGCCAAAGATTAATCCAACCAGCAAGGAGAATTTAGCGATATGGACCTTCCAGGCATTATCACACACAAGATCCCACTAGAGAGGGGCAAACAGAAGGTAAATCAGAGAGACGCAAACATACAACCAGTGCTCAATCACAAGGACAAATAATAACCCTACAAGGGTCTTGGCATAGTTTTGGGGCCATATCATATGTGACACTAAGAGTATCTTCATTAGGCTGCTGAAAATCCAATGGGAACTCCAATTTGCCCATAAAATGAAATGTGGTGCTTTAAACAGATTATCTACATCTGCAAGGAGTGATGCATGAAATCTGGGGGACATGTGTGCCTTCCATCCCAAAGACCCAGGAAACTGAGTGCGAGGAAAATGGCCCAAGAAATGGGTGACACCCCCTGGTGACCAGAGTCCCTCACACCCCACAGAGTTGCTGCGATCCAGGTGACAGAAAAGCCTAGCCAACTTCCTTTATAGGATGCTATGAGAACACAAGGAAATGAGAGGCAACATTTGCATTTCACTCCATTATGCGGTCTAAACTGCAGTCACAAAAAGAATGGGAGTTAACAGTGAATGCTGAGCTATGAACAATATATTCTCATTTTTTCCCCTCATAAATCCTCTTGTGAATTGTGTTGTAGGGCTAACTGCAACCCTGGAGTCTCAAACTTAGTCGACTTTGTACAGTCAAGGTTTATTATTTAATTGGGAAAATGAAAGTGATCCTCAGGACTAGGGAGATTACTCAGCCCATAAAGTACATGTTTTCATACACATGTGAGCATCTGAGCTGGAATCTGGAACCCACATAAAGCTGTATACGGTAATGTAATCCTAGAGCTCCTACGGCGAAATGGGAGGTGGAGACGGGAATCCCTGCAAGCTTGTGGACCAGACAGACTGGCATACACAGTGGTGAAGAGCAGAGACCCTGTCTCAACCAAGACAGAAGGCGAGGACTAGCACCTGAGGCTGTCCTCTGACCTTCACATATGTTATGGCATGCATGTATGCATACTCACAAACATTCATGCACATACAAAGGATGGTTGAGGAGACAGATGATAGAGAGATAGATACATAGATGTATAGATACATAGATACACAGATAGATACATAGATCTTCCATTATTATCTTTCCACAGTTTACCTCTAGGTCAGAAGGGCAAATGAACAGGGAGTGTCTGCCTGGTACAATGGGGTTACATCCTTGCTGTTTTTTGTTGCCATCATCCATCCTCAGTTGCAGAGAAGTCCTTCTGGCTAATGTTACAACTTGGAACTTTTTGACCACAGGTTAAGGAGGTATAAGGGTGGTGGGGTATTGATCCCAGCTGAAAATTTTCTACTGGGTGAGGGAAAGGGGTGGAAGTCATGGGGCTGCAACCTGAACTAGGCGCTGCTTCTTAAGCGACCCTTCCTTTGATCTGCCCGTAGGGAGAGTGTAAGGCCAAGGATTCTGGTAGCCTCAGGTCTGACCGTTTCCAGACTTCTGGAGCATCCAGTGGAGGCCAAGGATGACAGCTATAGGTCTCTGCTTCAGTGGAATTTGGGGGAAAAAAAAATCCTATCTGTATCAACAGTTGCTGAGGAAAGAACCTGGCCTAGACAGAGAACGAAGGGGCCACTTGTCACTGCTCTGACATCTGCCCAGGACTCCTTGGAGTACTTATGGTCCATGCTCCATGGCAGGATCCAGAAACTTCCAGAGAGCAACTCACTCCTTCCTCTATTGAGCTGGCTCCAGATGGTCTGAATCAGAGCTTAGGAGGGAGCAAGAAGACCAAGCACCAGCCACACAATGGCCAAGAAGGATGGTTAGGGGCTTGTTGTCTAGGTGTATTCATGTATCTGGGGAGGAGGGCTAGGAATGTCACCGAGGCAGTCAGATGCAGGTATTCCTTAAAGGAGATCTCAAATGCTACAGAACCACAGTGACTCCATCACCTGGGAATGAGCAGGAAGTGAAGATTAGGAGACTTCATCCCCAATGCTCTGAGTGAAAACTCCTGCGGGGAAAGCCCCAGAGTGGCGAGCCTGAGTCACATGAACCAACTGTCCTGCTTCCAAGAACTGCCCTAAGATCCTACCTTGCCTTTCCATGCCACACGGAAGAACCCATGTGCTTCCCCACCCCAGGCTTCAGTGGCCTCTCAAGAAGGAGTGACTAACATATCGCATGAAACACTTGTAAGTCAACTATGAGCTCCAAGACAGTTTTAAGTGGGTTCTGGAGCCAGCCTGGGAAGCCAACATTCACTGATGCTTCTAGAAGAAAAATTTAATAAGTAACTTCCCAGTGCCAGGAGAGCATATTTGGCCTTAAAACACAAGTTACAACTTTGCCATGAACAATATGTGTGCATTCTGTCTTCCCAGCTCCGTTTGAAAATTCTGGGAGAGGCAGCACCTATACCAATTCATCTCCCGGCTACACCACACCTGCTTAGACTTCGACCTGGCATATTCTTGGCAAGCACTAAGCTGCCCTGACCCAGGTTGCTGCCTGGGAGAAACACACCAGCTGCCATCTCTTTCATTCACTCTGCTTTTAACTACCTTCACATCTCCACCAACACTCCCTATTGAGGAGTTTATTCAAGGTTAAATGATGCAAAAGAGTACATTATCCTTAGACTAAATGGCCAGGAGACAGGAGCATTTAATAAAAACATCCAGGGAGGTGGAGAAAATAGCTGTTGCCAACTCAGTCATCTGAGCAATTACTACACCCGGCCTGGGGCAGCCACGACCCAATTTAGTTGCTACCTAATAAGTTGTTCAGTAGTCACCTCAACATGACCCCTATCAATTAACAATGCCAGAGTGGAAAATTATTAGGACTTGGAGGAAAACCGAACCACTCACGCTGTCAATAAGGAAAGGAAGCCTAGTTGGCATCAATGAGCTCTGTGGGAACTCACCCACCTTGAGGGGGTGGGGTCAACCCGGGAATCCAGGGCAAGGCAGCCACCTGTGCCCTACAGCTTTCTCAGCTGGATACATACCTGAGTCAACAAGCAAGGCACCTAAGAGCACCCAGCATGCTTAGCAAGATAAGAGTTACTCATGCCTAGGGATCCACCTACACCAACACCCTCACCATCCTGGGGCCCACCCTGAGGCACATTCCATTGGGTTTGTGTGATGGGGAGGAGGGTGGTGAGTAGGGAGAAGGTGGGGTAAGAGATGGAGGTGAGGGAAAGCTATGGAGTTGGCTCTCTTGTTTAACTTCTACCAAAAAATGTACCGGGCACATGAAGTGAGTCCTCACACAGTGTTATCTTTTAAAGAATCCACCAAAGAATTTCAGAAGTATGAGGAAGCTCTTAAATTTGTTCTCATTGCTATAGATAAGATTATGGCAATTGGTTACTCAGGAAGTTAAACTATGGTTTTTTTTTTTTGTTTTTGTTTTGTTTTGTTTTGTTTTTAGATTTAAAAATAAAACCCTCTGACTAGAGTTATGCTGTAAAAAGTATAAGGCCAGGACTTAATGAGCTTGGTTGGCTCCTCTCCTCCCTCTCTCCTCCCTCCAATCTATCACCAATACCAGCAGAATGGTGGAAACCTTTCAAATACATCCTGAATGTCTCTGGTGTTCAACTATGACTATGGCCATCCTAATTTCTAGGGGTGAGGGAGATGCTCACCGGACAGCCAAGATGGCAGATACCTCCTCCTCATTTATATTCCTTTACTGCAGGCTACAAGACTAAAAACCATTACTTCTGGACCCTTACAGAGGTTTCAAATATGAGTCAGGGTCTGCTAATCAGGTCTACACAACAAAAACTCTCCATGCTACTTAGTTCTGATCTCAGGGCTACCTTGACTTGATAGAGAACCAGTGGTTGGGATGGGTTGGGGAAAGTTCTACAAAGCTGGTCAGATCTTGTAGGGGTTGGGTGGTCTTGGGACCTACAACTCAGATGGTAGCTTTACAAGAGTGTGAGCCTGGAGCCAGTGGCTGGGACAGTGACTTCCTAGTGTCTCGGCTTCCAAATGAAACACTGTGCAGGCTGGGTATAAAGGCTATGCTGGGAATACTTCTGGAGCTCTAGCCTGTGCTCTAGAAACTTAAGAGACACTGTTGGCCCGCATTCAGTCCCTGTCTCCTGCAATACCCACAGGAGTACATGATACTTGCAAACTGAGCCCCTGCCTTGATTGATTTTCCTTGCAATAGAGTTCCCAAGGAGGGTGTGAGCAGAACCCCCACTCTCCAGAAAACAGTATAGTCTGGCCTTGACTCCACCTCCTGGAAACCATCCCCTAGAGAACAATGCGGAACAGCCTTCTAATGAAGCAAGTTAACACTCCATCAGCAGGTTTAACAGGATCATAAAAGCTCCAAGCCTCAGCCCATTCCACCATCCCTCAGCCCATTCCACCATCCCACTCTCTCTTCTCTGCCACCTTACTCACTTCAGAAGCATCCTGCAATACCACAGGGGCTCTGGCCCCAGACTTCAGGACAAGAGCAATGATTGCACACATCTCATACGCCTCATTAGTTGCTATATGTTCTGTTCAAAAGCTTAATTAAACATTTTAAAAGAGAAGAAGAATTTGGGAGGCTGCTTTTGTACCTATAGATTTAAAGGACAGACTACAAGAAATAGATGTTGTATCATTTTAAGTGATTTATCAAATTTCTTAACTTGTTAGACAATAGTCATCAAGAAAACTAATCACATTTCTAAAGAGGATGGGAAAATGGAACATAGAGGAAACAATTTTCAGGAATAAGAAATTCTCTAGTGAAATTTATAAGAATAATCTTTGAAAACACAACTGTTAGAAGATAGGTTACTATCTGACTGTGGAGACTGAATATCTGCAATAAAAAACTAATGGGAGAAACTACCTAGGGAAATGACAAGATGGGTCTGGAGTGATGGCTCAGTGGGTACAAGCACTGGCTGCTCTAGCAGAGGACCACGTTTCAGTTCCTAGCACACATAGCAGCTCACAATGGTCTGTAACTTCAGTTCCAGGAGATCCATTGCCTCTTCTGACCTCCACAGGCACCAGACACACATGTGGTACATATACAGTCATACATATAT